TACACATATATACACACACATACAATAAAATAAAATAAAAATAAGATAATGATGAACTATATTAATAGTACATACTTTTCACAATTTCTTAAAATAAAGAATATTAGGTTACAAAACAGCAATGTGTAGTAAAAATCCATTAACATGAGACGTAGATTAGAGAAATCTGTATATTTAAATTTTTTCATTCTACCATGAATATATAATACTACTTTAATAATGTTAAATAACAGAAAACTTTTTTTTGAAACAATAAATAGTAACTATTGAAGTAGAAATGTAGGAGAGTTAGAGAAATCTATACGAATATAGGAATACCTTGGGAAACTGGTTTATTTTAAGAGTCTTCAATAATTAGTTTTTATAACTGTTAGCATCTGAAAGTCTTTGCTGAAAAAAATTATGGCTGGCTATTATAGCTAAGTGAATTATTAAATATAAGTATATATATGCTAATATCAATATATTTTATAATGATTTTTACTAGTTCCAATCCTCTATTAAAATGCAAATAAAGCATGCAACACCTAATCCTTTATATTTTTAAACATCAAATATTCAATAAAATTTTGATAAATTTCTCACTTTAAAGTATTAAGATCTAGTCGATGTTAGAGGATATTCAATACACCATGAAATATACTGTAAACTATAGCATTAAATATTTTTCCCTAATAATTTCAGAAATTTTACTAACACTTCAAGTTTAAACGACATTATATAAAAACTTCAACTTTGAGAAGATCAGAAAAAACTAAAACAGGACTATTTTTGGTTTCTTTGGGCACTGAGGGCATCACAGAGGCCCTAATAACAAGGTCCAATCACACAGTGACTAGATAAACTGTAACTTGTACCACATCTAAGGCTATTGTTTTTATTTCTAAACAACATAGGTACAATACTGGCTTTCAGGAACACTAAGGTAAATTATTAAAATGAATGTATTTAACTCAATACATCATCCCTCCACTTGGACTTTATAGTCCAAAAGAGCCCTGCGATTTATGATATGTCAAACATATCATACCTTGAACACAAGTTTACCAGTATTCCTAGGACACCAGTAAGAAGACTTCACGTATATATATGTAGTTATAGCCAGTTAATAAAGGGAATAGGTAACGTGGATACGATCTAAATTTCAGGGTTAATAAAACTTAAAAATATATATAAACTGTATTTGGACAGAGGATAAAAGAATCACTGTTAAACCTCATTTATTTATCATAACAATAAGATGACCAAGAAATTCCTGTTTTTGAAGAAATAGGATCATTGATACTGGGTAGAGATTTTGAACACTTGTACTTTAAGACTGCAAGTTAAAATCCCTTGGTAAAAGGATACTGGAAGAGGACAGTCACATGGTCTCAAAGTATCCCACAGATGATATGCTTTTCTAATAAAGAAAGATCTGAAATACTATACCTTAACCAAGTGAATAAAACAGCACCTTTAAGAATGGAGAAATCAGACATCATGTGTCTCTCTGTGTGATGCAATGAGAAACTCACAACTTCACCTATACGATACGCTTGGCTAAAGTGTTAAACCTGAATCATGAGGAAATAATCAGACAAATCTAGATTTGGGGGTATTCTACAAGAAAATTAGTCTCCACTTTTCAAATATATCAATGATAGATTAGAGATGAGAAAAGAAACATGAAAATCAAAAGCAATGTGGTAACTTTGGTTGTAGATAAAAACAAATTGGTTATAAAGAACATGTTGGAACCACCAGAGAAATCTCAATATGGATGGTATAATAGACTATATTATTGTATCAATGTTAACTTTTGGGGGGTTATGAAAATGATCTCATGATCATGAAGAAAATGTCCATGTTTTTAGAAATTATATGCTGAAATACTTAGTTGTAAGGTATTTTATGTCAGCATCTTGTTTTCAAATGATAACAGGCCAAAAAAAATGTACTCACGTACTCATAAAATGCTAACAACTGGCAAATCCAGGTAAAAAGTAAATGAGTATTCATTATACTAATTTTTCTGTAGGTTTGAAATTTTTCAAAATATAAAGTTAAAACACAAAAACTTCGGTGTATTGTTGAAAATAATTGAAGAGAGGGAGGCTTAAGTATTATTAACCCTAATTTCAGAATAACAAGCCAAGCACAGAAGTATGAGTTCTTAATACATACTCTGTTCTCCTTGTGGCTATTGAAAGCATTATCTTCCTCTAATGTTTTATCTAGATCTTCATCAGTAAGTTCCGTTTTCACATTTTGGTTTTCTTCAGTATTTTCTGATTCCTCAATCAAATCTTCATCTTCCACCAAATCTTCTAGACTATTTTCCCATGAAATGGTGGCTCTTTTTACATTTAATATTTTATTATCCGAATTATTGTCTAGTGATACATTTTGAGAAGATTTGACAGGTTCAAATAATTTCTCTTGAGATGAATTTAAATTGTCAGGAACACAAACCTGTTAAAATATCCAATGTGACTTGTAAACTAGTAAAGTCAAGAACTGTCCACTAGAAAATAATTAATTTTATAAAGTCAAATGACAATTTGACTGTTAAAAGAAAAGCTATGCAAACAAACATACAAAAAGAAATTAGCATCCTTAAATGAACATTCTCATTTTTCAAAAGCTACTTATACAGGTATACTACAGGTAAATCTACCTTCCTCTTAGCAAGATTTCTAACAGGGGGTTTTCCAGTTATTCAGAAGCCATAACTGAACCAGATGGATGGCTGACAATCATTCCAAGAACAGTCATTAATTTGTAACTGATGCTGAGTATAGTGGCTCCTGCCTATAATCCCAGCTACTTGTGAATCTAAGGTGGGAGAATTGCTTGAGGCCAGGAATTAGGGACTAGCTTGGGCAACACAGCAAGACCCCATCTCTAAAAAAAATTTTTTTTTAAATTAGCAAGGCATGGTGGCGCACACCTGTAGTCCCAGCTATTCAGCAGGCTGAGGTAGGAGGATCCCTTGAGCCCAGGAGTTTGAGGCTGCAGTGACCTATGATCGAGCCACTGCAACTCCAGTCAGGGCAACAGAGGGCAACAGCCCTCTCTTCAAAAAAAAATTTTTTTAATTAAAAAATTTGTAACTAACGTTTATTATTAACACTTATCACTCAAGGTCATTTTAATCCTAGAGGGGAAGGGGTAACTTTCAATCTTTTCCCGTGTCTTCCTACTTGGTCAAATATTTACATTTTTAATTTTCAATTATTCCCTAGGCTTATAGTAATAAGTGCAAAATAATTATTTCAAGAAAAATTGTTAATGTTCTAATAAGAAGAAGAGGCTTAATAAATATATATTTACTTTTTGTGCTATGGCTGAGAACTTC